ACTAGGCTAGTAACATCACTGCATCCCTCCGATATTCTCGTAGCTGTCGAGCGTCGCCAGCGCAATCACGTTCGTGGTTGCGACAACGTCTCTTATGCAAATATCGAAACTGGAATGTCGCAAGGAAATAAATACGGATCAAACTTCTCTAGATAGAGCGGCATAGAGAAATTAATTTGTTTGAAATACTATCGGTCCTACACAGGACCAAGATAAAAATTAATTTGCAACACAAAAAAAAACACAAAAAAACACACGCTCAAAATGCACAGATTAATAAATCCTCCAAGATCGCTCAACGCGCTCCGCCACTTTCCCACGGATTGGTAGAAGCCGCTCGGCGAGTGCTCCACCAGCTGCAGATCTACGAGCGGCACACGGAGGGATCACTTGGATTTCGCGAATGACACGGGAATCCACCCGGAGAGTGCACAGCGAATGCTCGCTATCTGCCATGGCACAAGGCTACTGCTGTAATCATTCCGGTTTTGCATCGTACAATACCTCGGGATTTGTGCGCTTGTGTGACTCGTCGGGGGCACCGTAATGAGTGCTCACAACTGACAGTATTTTGAGAGGCCGAGGAGCTTCTGGAATGCTTGGACAAACGTCTCCATAAAGAACAATGCTTTGAACAAGTACAACAAAACTCTTCTTCTTCCCTAGTATCCGAGCAGAAAGGTGACCACTGACAGATTCAAAGAGCAATGGTAAAATCTCAATTTGTCAAAATGAGCAATAGCTTACGTGACAGGAATGTATGTCAAACCGGCATGTTTGTCCGATCGTTCGGCAGCAGACGACTTCTAAATCTGTGCCTGCTTACGGGGCCCCATAAGTATTGAACACCAGCGCTTTTTGTTATGCTGATCTTTTGGCAGGGGTGGCTGCCTAACAGACGCTCATTGCACCACTGCACTGTAAACGACTCGACAAACCATTTCGGAAATATGTAGCACCCTCCATCATCGTTCTGATATGCTACGGCAATCCAATGTATGGCATGCGAAGGAGTATGCGTAAAGAGAAGGAACAGCTCATGTTTGTCTAGCAATCTGCAATTTTAGAATACAAAGAAAGCAGGACGATAATGGAGTATGTATCGACTTTGTGATGTGCTCACTCCATTTTCTATGTCCTGAACTAGAAGTGGTGAGGGAGACGGAACTGAGCCACTTCCAGGATGTATGGAACGCACGTCGGAAGGGCCTCAAAATTCCTTGCGCCGTCCGGTGCAACGAGGCATTGACAGGAGGCCTAACAGGATTTTCCGGGAAAGGTCCGTTCTCACGAATTTAGCGATTTGAATAACGCAAAAAGTAGATAGAGCGAATATACTACCCTACAATAACAAACATGGAGCGTGCCACCCCAACCACGAAATACGCCCAAACCCACCTCGCAAAATTCTCGAAACATCGAGCCCACGAAAATAAAGCCATTTACAGCATACCATTTAATTCCCCGCACCTTCATACAGTCTTCTAATTGACGAAGCCGTTCTTGATTACTCGCAATAATGATACCAATTAACCTCTAATCAGATAAAAAAAAAAAAATGTTGGCCAATGAAACCAGTTTTTGTTGAGCATTCCATTTGGCTCAAGAAAATATGCATCCAACAGCGCTGCGAAGCTTGCAACACTTGCCGCTAGTGATAACAAACTCGCACACCCACTCCAAGCTTATCACCCGCATCCAACGGCAACGCACGGTGCCTCAAGTGTCTTATATATACGGGGGAACTAAATTCGAAAATTCAATGCTTTTTTTTTTTTCTTTCAGAAATTTAGGATTTTTGTACAAGTAAGAATGTCTTTACATTGCTCCTTCAAAATTCTGACTTTTCCAACAAAGACAATGCAGAAATTGGGGGTTTCTGCAACTCTCTGAGCCGTTATTGCTTAATATGGTAATTCGGATGGTGGCTTACGCCGCCGAGTGATGCCTCGGACAACAGCTGATTTCGTCTGTCATTTTCCTCAAACTCAGCCAGCTTTCTGATGCTTTCCCTGACAATTCATTAATTTTTCTAGATGCAATTCCAGGTTTTCGAGTTTATGATGCATTCTATTAAAATAATTAGTTCCTTCAAGCTTTACTTTTCAATATTGCACACTAATTTCGGGAGACGCAGAAGAGGGTGTCAACCACAAAGAGAACAGCCCAAAACTAAAAGTGTGAGGGAGTAGGACTCCGACAACGTCAAAAAGATGAAACACCAATGACAGCAAAAAAATCCATTCTGTGGACAAAGAAAGAACAGAGAGCACAACACTCTCAAGTCAAGACTGTTTTGCTACTTTTACTTTTTTCTTCAGAGCATCCGGATTTCGATGTACACACTAAAGAAAAAAACTGTTTGCCCAAATTTTTTTTTCTTCACAACACATTGTTTTTGTGGAAGTTTGTTTTAACCATCATCTCAATCAATGTTAACAAAAGAGTGCAGACACAAAAGAGTGTTGAGGATGCACAACACTACCATATCCAAGAATGAGGCCGTTCTCAAGCTTCTTACGTGTCAGTGAATTACAGACCAATTTCCCACATTCCGAAACTCGATACAAAAAAAATCCAACTTTTGTACACTGCACGACAGCACTCTTAGCATACACCTGATGTACCAACTTTTTTGCACTTCACTTCGAAAGGGTATTGGCGGGCACCAATCTTTACCACTTGGGTTTGTGGGCACTTTCCACCACCTTTTATCTCCCAGAAAAGAAAAAAAAAGAGGCAAATGCCTGTTTTGCATTAACAGTCACAACCAAAGTCATACGAATTCGTGCTTCAAGCATGCCTCTGTAACACATCAATCATGTGAACCTGTTTCATCGATACCTGTTTGTACCAGTACATCCCATTCGTGCATATATGCCCCATTACAAGCTACTTGGCAGCCCTACCTCGACGAGTCACTACCCGTAGCACGCCTTTGTTGGGCAAGTCTGTGAATAATCAAAACAAAATAAAACCGCGAAAAAAAAACAAAAAAACATCACACACAAACACAGCGTTGACCAGCGACTGTCGATTTCTTTCACACAAGAAAACAACAATTCAGAGTCAGCACCATGTTTGCGTGTGTCTCTCCTGCTTGTCCCCGTGTCCTTTTTTGCACTTTTAAGTCACTTCCTAGTGTTGACAAGTGCAAAGGGCTTCCCCAACCATGAACTTGGAACAAACAACAGCTACAGTGCCAAATGGCAACAAACTTCTACAAAGGGCCTAGGAGAAAACCGGGTAGGGGGCGAGTAAAGAACCCATCCGTCTCCCATCGTGGACTCGACTACTCTCAAACAGGAGGAAGGATCACCTAACCTTCAAGATTCTCACAAAACGAGTTTTGGCAAACAAGGCTTTCTAAAAAAAGAAAAAAAAAAGTTTTGAAGATGATCCAAAGAAAAGCACCTTTCCTAAACAAGAAAAAAAAAAAAAAAAAAAAATTCGGAATAGAATTTTGCGACGTTCAGCTTCAGCAATTAGGAACAATAGTCGAGGGCAAAACCTCAGAATTCGTCATTAGTCTCTTCTAAGCGACTGTCTCCGCCGTCGGTACCCCTTTTTTATTGCCGTTATTTTATTTTATTATTTGTTTTCCAAGTTGTACGTCGAGACGCCTCTCAAGCGGACCAACTAGGTAGACCACATGCAACGAGCAGCTACGACGACCGTGCGCATTGTTGTTACGCGACATTAAAAAAAATAAACAAAAAAAATAAAAAAGGATCGCGATTATGTAGGACAGTGATACCAAAACAACAAAGTGTTATGCTGGAATTACGTTTACATTCCTTTACACACAGAGCGGATGTTATAGAAAAAAGTTTCTCCTCTCCTAAATGCACCAGAGGACCAAAACCTTCGGGAGTAATTAAAAGTAGATAAACGAACCAGAATAGCCAGGTGGAAGTCAAACCACTTTAGCAGACAGCGGTCTCCTGCATGCCAAGCACACGCCCGTGCGTCACAGGGCGGCGGTGACGCCACACATCTCAAGGTTAAAAACTCGGCACGCAGAAAAGCGGAACGCAAGAAAGTAACCTAACCAACAAAAAGTTGCCGAGAGAGACCACACAAATCGGGCCGGCCGCCTCTTCGACAACGGGCCTGCGGCAGACGCACACGCAAGCCAGCCCTTCTCCCCGTGTCGCAAAGCCTTTCCGCTCGGTAACGTGCTAAGCCTAACAACCTCGGGACCCGAGGAGCAAGCCTCCGACGACGGTACGACACCCATCGAACTTCGTCGCAGACGGCGCGGCGTCGCCGCGTTTAATTTTTTTTCGACTCGACGGACGGGCAAAAAAGGAGATCATTTAAAGGCACACGCCGCGGAAGCTAGAACGCAATTAAAAAAATCTTAGGGAATAAAAACAAAAATAAAAAACGGTGGAAAGGCGAGGCACTCTCCGGAAGGCGAGCAGAGACGGGTGCACGAAACACCGCTACGGTAGGGCTTCCTTCAGACAGACACCTTCACTTTGGCTTTCTTTTTTACTATTTATACTTTTCCAAATTAGGTTCGGTGCGTAAGAGAACGCGTCTCGAAATGATGTAACAGAGCTGCGAATCCGTCGGCGGCTTTACGTTCCCAGGCTCGCGACACATTCGGCCATTCCTCAAACAGCGCCTTTTTGAGAAGGCATCGGCTAGGGCGAGTCAGATTTAGCAACCTCTGACGAAAAGGGGTTATTAATCGCACGCTGGCGTCCCTGTCGGAGGGCAAACACGCAAGCGTCGTTCATTCGCGAGTGACGCTCGAGGGCTGCCATGCGTTTCAAAAGTCGGCAGCACTGGCGAGTTTTGCCGGAGCCGCAACCGAAAACCGCCAACCCAGAACCTGACAATGACAGCAAGTGCAGTGGGGTACCGACACCGGCAACGACGATTTTAGGACTTTGAAAACGTCTCACAGCGTGAAACAAGCTGCGGACACTGCGCGGGGTTGTATCGCACCAGTACGAACCGAAAAAAACGGGGTATTAAAGTTTGCTCACCTTCTAAGAGCCTGGAAATTATGCTGTCGACGTTCAGGTCCCCTTCCGCCATTTTGACCCGCTGATGACATCAAGAGCGCCGCGCGTAGGGCGCATGCGCGGCGCATTCGGCGATCCGCGCGCCGCGTCGCGACGCTTGGAGGAAACAATCTCACAATGCGATTTACTTTTTTGTTGCTGTTTTTTTCTGAAATGCTGTGTTTGGGAGCGGAAGGTAGCTTCCGCCCGGGGTGATTTCGAAATCCTGATCCGGATCGGAAATGCCCGTCCCGATTCCGAGACATTTCTTGGCTGATAAAACATCCGTGTTTTCGTGTGTGTGTGTGTGTGTGTGTCTGTCTGTTTTTTTTTTTTATTTTTTTTTTTTAGAGGCAAGATAACTGATGACGCAGTAGAAAAATGAGTCTTCAATTTTTATGGAGATAAAGTGGTTTATTTCAGAGACTGCAAATGAGGAATTTTCTGTTTCGATCATATGACCAAAAAATATTTATTTTTCTTTTTAAGCGGGAGGTAATAATAATAATAATATTTATTTAATTGCGCGAATATGATTTACCACTTTGAGTAGGGTCACTAAATATACGAAAAGATAAATTATTTATTTTGTTACTCAGTTCGTTGGTTAGTACAAATACCATTGGCATGCGCAAGAATCGTACAAGGCGACAGCCGTAATCAACGCAGTGCAGAAGACCAAATGTAACTAACTGCGTACAAATAAAAAAAAAAATCAATATATTTTTTTTTTTAACTTGGATTGAGCGCGTTGGTAATAAATTCAAAAATATACGAAAGAGTTAGACAAAGAGGACGGACAGGACAAACATCTTTCAAACAACATCAAACACATCTTTCAAACATCCGTCCTCTTTGTCTGACTCTTTCGTATATTTTTGAATATTTTTTTACAAAACGTTTCATGAAAGATCTTTCTTTTTTTTTTCTTTTTTTGTTTTTGCGTACGAGCTACGCGTTGTACGGAAATTAGATCGGTACCGTATTATTTGTCACATTCTTACATTTACTGAGGTGTATAGCGTATGAGATAATGAAGTTTGTAATTAGATTTGCATTATTAACTTTTTGATTAGGGAAAATCAGCAGATATTTTAATTACAAACTCAATGGGAATCATCAAAAGCAATAAATCTGTCATTTTCTTTTTTAATAAAGATTTTGTGCATGCGGTTTGTTCTTTTGAGTTCCGAAAACGCACCCAACTTCGAGGCGCCTGTGCAGTTTTCTTTCTTCTTCTCTCCCCCCCCCCCCCCCCCCCCCCCCTTGTTTATATTATTTGCATTATCGACTCGCCCTGCCTTGCACATGCAGAGTAAGCGATAACTCTGACGCACAACCACGCTTCCGCGCGCAGTCTTTCTGAAATTAGTGCTGGTTTAGTGGTTTTCAATCACGCCTCGCAAGTTTCTCGTTGAAACCCTATATGTTTATTTTTACTAACCAAATAGTTAATTACGCGGAACTAATTTACAACTTAATTATACGAAACGCTGTGCACGTAAGTAAGTACAGCATAACCGCTTCTATATATAATGGAATAAAACAGCGCAACAGATACAAAAAAGGAAGAGACAAACCGGACAGGACAGAGCGGAGACTCGCAAAAAGACAAAGGACCCACGATAGCTGACTGGGGCTAGAGTAAGTTCCGAAGCTGTGACGGAAATTTAAAAACTCCGGAGCTTTCTGCGATCGTCTGTTTATGTTGTTATATTGCGTAGTAGATGCATGTTAATATGTATACAAAGTTTTAGGTTACAAAACCGTTTATTAAGCAGATGCCAGTAGAAATATATCGGGACTATTTTCTCTTGGAAGAGAATCCCCCATTCCCTGCCCATCGCTGAAACTTGACCAATGGAATTGCTGCATCTCGCGGTGAATGCGAACGTTATTATTGCAACACTTTTTAAGCTTGTTGTAAATTAGAGTTTGAGAAAAACGTAAACTGAGTGTGGTGCGGGAAACATAGTCCGCAATTATCGCTCCAAAACCAGCGAACTATATTTTCTCCCCGCAAGCTTGTTGCTAGGGGGTGACGCGTCGGCGCGTCGGCTCGTCTGCTTCCCGGGGCGTCTGCAGGCGTGCGTTTGCGGGACACGTGTTCCTTCTTCCCGTGGAGCCCGGTTCCGAAACCAGCTTTGCGATCCTTCCACGTCAACGAGTCAAACTTTTTTTCGTCATCTGTGGAATGTGACTGCGTATTGCAGTAGCAGCGCGACGGTGCAGTGCGACGAACGACGACTGCCGAGCACGAAGTCTGGGCCCCTTGACGACGGTCCGCGCGTGTTCGAGAGATTCCTTCGCGCGTCGGCGGTCGGCCGCGTTGGTGACGCACAGTGACGCCAGAATCCTTCGCTTGCTATTGGCTGACGCCTCCCGTTTTCCGGGGTCATCTCAGAAAGGGGGGCGTGCCGGGAACTTTGATAGCAATTTTGATAGGGAAATCCACCGCGCATGGCGGTAATTTTATGATTTTTAGGATCCTTAGGGCCTGTAGACTGAGTTACCGCCATAAATAGACCATCGCAGAACGCTCCGGAGGGCCCCTTTAACAATTTTTAATCAGACAACGGCAAATCCAGTGGCGTATCAACTTGTTTTTGAGTGGAAGGTCGTAAAAGTGCTGGCAAAAACAACCTCATTGGGCAAAAAGCACAAGCGAACGCGAGTGTCGCTGTCGTCACGGCGTCCCAACTCCTGCATGGCTGCCGAAACTTCCGTGAACTGACAGCTTGGAGAGCGACCAGCTGCAGAATAGGCGTCGGCCCTACCCACCACCACTGCTGTGACGCCGCCAGGATCGCGATCGGCAACAGCGTGACACTTCTGTGACGTGACCGGGCGGAAATCAAGGGGCCACTTTTTTTGGACTCGGTAAACACACCCGTCGGAGAAGCATTCCAGCCAGAAAGGTCGAAAGCTTGGGGTATGTACCAACAACGTGTCCTGTGCATCAAAGGAAAGGCTCTGCGGCGGTTTTTTTTTTTTTTTTTTTTGAGCTATTTGAACTAACTATACTTCGTCTCAGCCTAGCATGGACTAACCGCGAAGGCTGTGCTAGCGCGAGCGGCCAGCCTTGACTGCCTTGACTAAAGTACTTGCTGCACAAGCGCTCGTGCAGCCGCCGCAGCTTCATTCAATGCAACTAGCGCTTTTAGCACGCGCGGCTAACACTAGTCCATACTAAAATAAATCAAAGTTTTTTTTTTTTTTTTTTTTTTTTTTTTTGTGTAGTACGTTTTTAGAATGCCCAAGCTCTTTACTCTCCACGGCACGCTATTTATGATCTCGAAATTCAAAATAGCTATCGAGAAAAGGGCGACTGATGGTAATGCCAAAACCAACATTCATATTTGCCCGTGCACGTTGTAAAACTTTCAAGTCGAGCAGGCACTTTAATAGTTTTTTTTTCTTTTTTTTTTTCCTTTCGTTTCGCTAGATTGTGCTTTCAGACCCTTCATTGCACACCATCAAACTTCTTTTGAACCCATAAAAAAGAAAGTAGTACAGATCAAATTACAACATCTACCTTAACGTTTTCAGTGCTGACAGTGGAGCCCTGCAGTCTGAAGAAACGTGATCGATAAAATATAAAAATTCCAAAACTTCGTAAAAAACTAGAAAGAAATATATATATATATATATATATATTTCTATGACTTGGGTTACTACTTCAGCCGTGTTCATTGATGCGCCGGGCCAATTTTCAGGCAAATCGATCAATGATGCGAGTGAAATGAAATCATGGACGCACCAAAAACTTCAGCAGGTATCGACGTGCTATGGGAGCTTTGAAGAACAGGTGAAACAGAGCTCAGCGGTACTCTCGGCATGCGACGCCTTGGTATTGTACTATACTCGTAGCGTAAATATTAGACTTTTTAGTAGATCGTATCGTTCCGATGGCTCCGATAACGCTACCCGATACCGCGCCGTCGCCTCTGCGCATACATTGGATACCGTTGTCAGGAATCGGTATCAGAGGAATCCGAACGATCTACCACAACTCTCTACATTTTAACGTTACGCTACGAGTATAGAATATTTGGGCGTTTGTAGAGAAGAAGAAAAATAAAAATGCGGTCGGCGTCAGGACACTCATATGTATTCGAGTCGTCGACTCGGCCGCATACTGCGAGCGACCGAAAGTGACCACAATTTCCTCGTAGGAAAGATTAAATAAATAACGAAATAAAGAGGACGATTGCGAGAGCTGTATTTGGAATGGCGGGTTGCAGTGCCCCATTCGAAACTTTTCCCTTTCTCATTCGTTTCTTTTCTTTCTTTTTTTCTGCGCTGTTTTCTTCTTCTTTTTTTTTTTTTTTTTTCATGGGCTCCGTTTTATTTTACGGTGGGCCACAGCGGACGCTACGAGCCATCAGAAGCCAATCCAGCGCCCTTTTGAGTGTCACGTGATCTTCAGTATGGGCGCGGGGCGCTTCGTCACGTGACATATGTTCACAGCGGCTGGATGGCTCGTGGCATCTGCTACGGTGCGTCGCGAGGTGAAACGGGGTCTATGACCGATGTAGAAATAAAGCATATAGCGCGTTCGCAACGTAGAAGTCGTAGGGGAATCCTGATTCAGGGGAGGTCGCGCGGCTGGAGCTGAGCACCGTCTCACGCGCGCAGACGATCACAACAGCCACGGGGAGAGAGATATGTGCAGAGCGTGTTCCTCCTTTAATAAAAAGAACGAAAGAAAAAAAAATGCGACCGTATTTTTAAATTGGTTTTGTTTTCTGGTTATGCTTAGGGTACCTTCGTCTGCGCTGCAGCCTATATAGTTATGCTTACAGAACGCCTATACCCAGTTTCGTGCATGGCCAGGGTGCTCGTCGTCTTTCGTGCGTTTGCTACAAATGTTTATTCTCTTGCGCTGAACGGAAATTTCCCTGTATTGTAAATAAAATAAATAAATAAATAAATTGACCACTAAGCGTTTTGTTTTTGTTTGAGAATTGATAGTTATGTTTTGGACAATAAGGTTGGGTTGTTCTTGAAATTTGGAAACTTGAAATCCAACATACGTTGGAAATAAAGCTTATGAATTGCATTCCTTGATAGTGCATCTCACGTGTTGTGCACGGCTGCTTCACCACCTCACAGCTTGTGTGCTGTGCAGCA